AGACTAAGATTTTTTGTACGATTTGGTATGAATCGTACAAGATCATACATGATCAGACACAGAATCTTGTCCGATCTTAGTGTCTGATTGTTTGTCCTTGGATAAATGTATTTCAAAACTTCCAGAAGAATTCATGAGACTTCATTAGACTTCAAGAGACTTCAAGAGGCTTCAGAAGACTTCGAAAAACTTTCAAGACTTCATGAGACTTCACGGCTGAAGTCTTTGCTGTTTCCCCCTTGATATACGTCTTTGTTAGCGAGAAGAATGTATAGAAAAAGAAAAGAAAACATTTAGTGCTTTATTATATTCAAATAATTTTCTTGATCTTCCATTCTTTATTTACATTGGTGGTTAGTACCTAGTACATATTTCGATTCTATTTTTCACTCAACACAACTACTTGTTGAATCTTGATCTGATGTATAACTCGAATATTGATAATTCATCAAATTCGGCTAACATGCCTCCTCGTGGTAGTCGTGATCGATCAAAATCACATATGCGAACATCGAGATCATCGACATCGAATCAATCATTACATCGTACATTGAGAAGTCAATCTCCATGTTCATCGATTATCCATCGGTCAACAAATCGATCTTCCTCAGGTACGTAAAACATGCTCGACAATTTAAGATTTTGTTTTTTTTGTACTTTTAAATTATCTTTTAACTGTCTATAAAATTTTTATACTTCGCTAGAATTTTTACGGATAATGATGGGAAAAAATAAATAAATGTTTTTTGTGTAGATCGAGATTTTAGTAAGAACTGAAAAAAAAGAAACTGAATTGCTTTTGAAATTTGCAATTTTGTGCACAAAGAGAGTGACTTTTTTTTCATTTTTTTTCTGACAATGAATGCGGATGGAAATGAAAAAGGAGAGAATGTATTGATCTCCTATAATTTTTTTCAAAAAAATTCTTGTGAAAGCGAACTGAAACTTGCTGGTAATTTCAATATTTTCATTGTGAATTACTAATTCATATTCATACGTTAACTAAAATAATCCGTAAAAAATTTCTAGGCAATGCTTGTATTTC